GATCGTCACTGCAGAATATTAGAAACACCCAAAGAAAGGTGATTCCATCTCAGTTACATGAGATGGTAGATCGATAAGTTTTTCTTAGTTGTCTCAAACTTCAGTCAAATGAAAAAATTTGGGCGCTATCGCAATATGCGGAGCATCCTTCGAGTCTAGATCTAGGCCTAGGCTTCAAATGCGTTCAAATGTATCACAATGACCCCACTCTTGCGATAGCGCCGATTCTCACTTACAAAGTGGAAAATTGGAAGCGTTTATGTCATTAGGGAGACATTGAAGCGAGTGAACCACTTGCAGAGATCGGGACTAAGCTTAGGAAAGGGAAGGGATTCTGGGGAAGTACGTGAGCATTCTTGTTCTCCCTGGCTTTCTCCCTCTCCTGGCTTAGTCCTAGTGTCACCTAAAAGCAGTTTTTAAATGACCTGCTTTGAATGTCCCCTCCCCCTGAGGAAGTGAGCGACAAATTTGATATTGAGATAACTGCAGCGTTAGAAAAAAGCCAAAAAAGAACGTGGTGATCTAGAAGTACATCGAAATTATTGCAACCTACTGTCTAGCATAATGACGAATCTGGATCAGAATCCTCTTGTCAAAAACTACACACTATATCTCAGCATGGATATTTTCGTCCTTTCTGCGACAGCCGTCTGAAAGTGAAGCGACTAACGAAAACTGAAAATACTCTTCGAGTGAGAAATACTAGTGTTTCCATAAACTTTACGCTATTCGAAATTATAGGACGGACGAGAGTTTGAGAAAGAAATAACTAAGATGACTAGCGTGAGAAAAACTATATATAATTATAAAATCTAGAAACTTTTCTAAAGCTATTCACCTTTACACACCTAAGGCGAAATCATGCTCGAAAAATGGTAGAGTCAACAATGGTGGTAAATTCTCTTTGAGATTAATGGTCAAATTCAAGGTATCGGCGTACGACTGCGACATGTATAAAAATCTTGAAAGACAAGCTAAGTGCGGAGATGGAGGATATTTAATAAGTTATGGACTGAGGAACTGCCAGAAATTCATCTCACCAGGTATGATCGAGGTGATTTCTGCGCTGTTAACATCACTGGTTCAACGTGTTTTCGAAATGTGTTTTTTTTGGAAGCAGAAAGGGTATGGGTGGACAGAGAAAAGGGTCTTCTCCATTCTGCCCACGAGCAAGGGTGGTGTTCATTCTATTACAGGCAAATGCTATGTAAGGGGTTGATTTGCAGATTAGAGGTTGTGGAGCCGTAAAGAGTTCTTGGAAATCCGGCCAAAGTAAGAACGACAAACCCATTAGGGCCAAGTAGCTAGTTAATGCCCGGCCGAGGATGGGTCCGCTCACCCTGATCGGAGATGAATTCCCAACCTTGGGAACGTATCCCCATCGTCGAAGATTAGTCCCCGACGCAGCTGATGGGACCGGCAATCACTGTTGCAGCTAAACTCACTACCCACCATTCCTACCCCACAGAAATCCTCAATTTTCTAAAATTATTATTTTGTGAATCACAGGTACTATGTCACGTTTCACAGCAAATGGCCAAAAATTCCTATTATGCGTGAGAGACTGCCTGTTAGAATATCTTGTGAATCTGTTTGAGGTAAGCACACTACCAATGGATATGTGACTTTAACAACGACAACGATTGTGTGCCATGGGAGATTTTTCCACCACTTTGGGCGAGCGCTAATTGATCTCCGGGATCGTGGAGGTGTGAGGGTGTAGTTCACTAGGACAGAAAGCGGCTTTTTCGCGTTTCGCAGCACCTCACATTTTCCGCTGATCATCAGTGGACCCGAGATTCCCGCAACGAACAATGTTTCGCGCTGCGAAACGCGAAAAAGTCGCTTTCTGTCCTAGTGAACCACATTCGAGGTGTGATACTCGAAGATAAGGACTGAAGGGATCAAAAATGCTTATGTTTATCGTCACTTTGTCAAAAAAAGCAGGTTGAAGGAATAGAAACAAATGTGCAGGATGACTTTAACATCATGCAGAAAGTCATGTGCAAAGAGTAGAAAATCAAAACAGAAAGTAATTAAACAGTTGATTGAAAAAATAAAAAAAGCATTAGTAACGCCTTTGAAAGTTGCTCATTGCTAGGAAAAATCTGAAAATTCGAAAGTGTACTGATTCGATAACGTTCCAGATCATGCAAGGAAAATTAGCTCGCTCCTAGCAGATCCATTCAAAATTTGGGACCTTTAGAAGGGTATCGAAATGCATAGAATACAAAAAGTAAAGGATAACGCATTCAAGCTTGATTTATCTCTTTTAAGATGCGCCACACATCCGAACTACATTCTGAATGCTACCGTCGCATTTAAGTGTTGGGCTGGTTGGCATACATCTTAGCGTTTGTTCTCCTAGACACAAGCGTTGCAACTGAAAGAGGATCCGGTTGGATCCGTTTGCCAGGAACTGCATCTGGCATCAACCCCTGACCATGCGTCACTTCCCTGCTTCCCTGCAACCAGGGTCAATCGCCCTGTTCCAATTCCGAAAAATTGACGACCCCCCCCCCCGACCACCACTCTCACCATCATGGCTGCTTTTATAATGTTTGACTCTGTAACCAGTCCACACGCTCGAACTCCGTCTACTTTCTACTTCAAAGCTTCAAAACGGCCATAGACGTGGGGATGAATGTGTTCAATGTGATAACCACTCTTAATGTTGTCTACTTCGCGCGGCCCCTTTTTGTCTATTTCGAGCTTCTTCCGGTTTTCGCCAGGAACTGCCTAATCGAAAATCCCGTCCAAGTTGTTCTGTCCAGACATGTCAAATCTCAACGTCCTCCACCACCACTACCCCCTCCCCATTGAATCAAAAAATCCTTCACGAGCTTTGACGTTCAGCAATCCTCAATAGTCAGCATCCAATACAAACACCTGCGCAATTCGCACAGCCAGCCCTTCCTCCGAACCGAATTTATCGTAAATTGTGATAACACTGCTATCAAAAGGACGCCTATAGTATAGCCACTCTATTCACTTGATTTAGAACACGGACCCAAGATGAAAAATATTAGTCTTGGGCTGATACTAGGGGAGGAACGAATTCTTTTTCTGGTTCTTTTTAGTTTTTATTCACTTTTATTTCGAGATCTATAAAGCATGCTGCAGAAAAACATTTCAGTTCTTACAGTATTCGTTCAGGAGAGTCATCCCACATGTGACGAGATCTACGACTTGGCAATGGACAGTCACGTGAAATGCTATTTGAAATGTGATTTTTGCAATATTTGCAAGACAGAAAAATGGGCACTCTTTAGAAGTTATGACTTTCTATCCTTGAAATCGATCATGACAGTGGGCAAGGTCCTTCTGGCATGCGGTCCCATCCCGTGTATTGACTCCAAATTTCTATTTAAGACAATTTTCTTAATTTTAATTACCACAATCATAATTTACGAAGAGAATCTCGTTTTTTATTCTGTCGCATAAACATAATTTGCTGGTTGACATCAGTCATAACTGTCAACAATAATAAATTGTTTCTAGAAAAACAGGAGATAAAATTTTTAGGGCAGGTTGACCCTAAAACTCAGAAAGAACAAAGCCTTTACAAAGGTTCATTTCATAGAAATTTACCATTACTCTCACTCTAGTAGTTAATTACAGTGAACAAAGGACCAACACGAATCTTCAAGCTTAAACGCTTCACAGGACATTCAATCTGTCAACCTTGAAAGTCTTTCTACTGGTCAGCTCATTCACTCGCACTGGCATGACACCAGGATGCTGTTTCGAAAATCTCCTATACAAAACAAAACCAATATCAATAAATGCAGCAAGATAAGCACAATAAAGAAATCCTCACTAATGCTACAATGAAAAATCTACCATGCAAAAACACAAAACAAAGCTACATTACGATATTAATCCATCTATATACACTTTCTACCTACAAAACCAATTGTCTAGCGCGATTTCTTGCGATCCTCATCGTGATAGGTAGGGAATGGAATACCTGAAAAAACCTTCACTTTTTATTGTATATCCAGCTTGAATACCTCTTCGAAATCCCAAAAGATTGTACATGAGTACAATTTTGTTGTTTTGCAAGGTTCTTGAACCACAGAACAGTTCTATTTTAAACACCTATTTACAGTACGGCACGAACCTGGTAACTGCCAGTGAACTCAACCTCTTTACCAAAGTCAGGCAAGTAAGCGAGTAGTATTGCGCGTGAACAATTTCAGATAACGCGCCATCACATTTCGACACTCTCACCCTAGAGGTGGGCCAAATTCGAGACCCAGCACGACGCCTGAGACGGCATGCCAATCAAATCAGATGGTATAAATGCCACGATAAAGGGCAAAACAATTTGTAAATCATCGGAGAGGAAGGAAGCGAACTTCTGGACCATCGTGTGGTTCCCTCCTTGAAATCCTTAATCCAAGTAAACATCCTGGACATTTTCAAACTTCGCCAGGAACTTGTCACCGCACTGACATCACCTACACCTTGATGCAAACGATACCTCTTAATTTTCCTCTGCTCGACTTTCCCCAACCCAATACTGGTTCCATGCCTTCCCATATTAGCTGGGTGTACATTTTCATTGTCAGACAAGCGCCAGACGGTTAACGATCACGGCCTGAACCCCGTCAGCCATTGGCACACGGTTGGCACATTCTACTGCAGGAGTCGTAACTCCGAGCGTCTCATGTCGTGCCGAGACGCTTTCTTCAGTTTTCAATCGTTTTAGGTGTTCTTCTGTTTGTAGTTTTCTTCGAGATAGTCAAGAACTTTTTGTTAAATGATCCAAGAATCATCATCCCGATTATACAAGTAAAAATCGAATGCCAGGTTATTACATTACAAGTTCAGTTACAATTATAGGAAGTCAATAATCAATATCGGATCGAATCGAATGAACTCAAGCTGTTTGAATAGTTAATAAACTGGCTCGCGTTGAGCGGCCATCTACATTATACGAACCGAATAACATGTCTCGCTGAACGGTACACTCCACTCTTCATCGCTGTCCGCCTTCAACGCCGCCACACGCTCGTGGGCATATTTGGTCCACCGTTGTACCAATCCGGACAAGTGCAACGATCCGCTTTAGTGTCAGAACGGTCAAGTAGACACCGTCCCGGCACCATGAACTGAAACAAAAGGAAGGAAGGCGAGAAAGACCAAGTTTAAGATTAAATTTTCAACTGTCACTCTTGTACTCACTCCATGAACGAACTTGGTAGCCAAGCCATGTTTGTCGTTGAGACAGTATTGTCTCCTTTTTCTAAGATAACGGTCCAAACTAGTTTTCTTAAGTAGGGTGTTGATTGTTCTGCGGAAAGAAAGGAGGCACGACATTATCACGACAAGGTTCTTATCCGACCCTCTCAATGGTTTGAAGTGGAGAAAATACCATCAGCATATCGGAGCACGTCCTAGTGAGCTTTTCTCCAAATTGTGAGTTTCTTAAAGGTAGGAGTGTACAATATTCACTCCCTAGAGGAATTTACAGCTTTGGATTCACAGTTTCAAGTAATTACCCTAAGTAAGACGAATGGTATTTCTCTCTGCGATTGTATTGACGACCAACGACAACACCATGTTGACTTTGATATTTATAGTGATAGAAATATTGATTCAAAAACAAACAGTACTTGGGAATTTCAATCAAATCCAGACCATAAAAACAGAAAGTTTCTCATTAATATAGTTCAACGGAATCATACACTGTGTAGAGCTTTTGTGCAAATTATTATTCTCTACCATCTGAAAAAAAAAACATTTTTAGCGCCACTAAAAAAGAATGGTAAAAAGTATAATAATATCATAAAGACCACCGATCATGAAGAAAGATTATGGAAAGTAATACTACAGACTTTTTTAATGACTATCGACGGAAGAGAATTTTTACTGTAGCACTTTCGGACACAGCACGCAAGTAACTGGATTTTTCTTAAATGTGTACTTGGGGAACGATTTCTAACCCACAACTGGTATCAAAATGGAGAGGTTTGTCGGAACTGCAAGCACGATAGCTTTCTAACAACAGGCGCTCACTGAAGTCTCTAAAAATTTCGTTTGCAAAAAACTGTCTTAATTTTCAGAGAAGTGTCATAAAAAAGATGCAATCCAAAATTGACTCTTCGGAGGGTACTATCGCAAATTCAAATAATGAAGTTCAAAAACATTCTTTTGAGATGGAATACGGAAAATCGTACCGAGCCACTTCTGTATTATTGCAGAACCATTTCAAGGGGAGAGATAAGGAAAAATGAGCTGCAAATGATGTGGTATTCGCACAACACCGACTACGTTGGAATCGCTTTTTGTATAAGGCCCAGATATCTGTATCGATAGTCAAAATAGCAGTGTTAAGCTGAGAGTTGTTGAGAAGAAGTTACTTACGGAGACCAAGCAGTTATCAGGGAATCCAAGGAAGTAGGTAGTGAGATAAAGCTGCAGGACGGCATTCATAAGGTAAAGAAACTTCGTAATTCCATAGAAAACGGTCGCCACAGCTGGCATTCGGAATACTGAGGAGATTAGGCCACGCTGAAGTATCGAAAATTGAATAACAGAAGAATATAATAAGTACACATGTGTTTTCTGTATTTTCATTCTATCAACTCTAGGCGATATTTCAACGATTCTCGCTGTAAATTCCCTCTCAATTCATTGTTTTCATGCTGGGATTCAATTTGATGGAGCTGTTACAGACCACACTATTTAAAGTGAAATGGAATTAGGATTACAAAGGAATTATGATAAATTTGAAGAGTCTGCACGTGGGAAGGAAGCATCTAGCCCTGCCGGCTCATAAACAGTTGTAATACAGAAACAACATGCACCGCCATGTAAAAAAGAAGCTATCAGACCCCCCCCCCTCTTCGCGGTGTCACCAATGCACTAACGAGTTCTAGGCTGCCGCCAGAGTCCGCGAATCGCGCGGTGGATCACAGAAATCACAAGTGCCCGATCAATACTGCGAGGTGCTCTCCAATCCCGCCGCCATTTCTGCTTGATGGTGATGGTTGAATGACGACTGTTCATGATTCTACTTGTTTCATATTCAGTGTTTCAAATGTTCAAATGGGGCACTTGCGATTTTTGCGATTCGCGCGACGGATCGCGGACTCTGACACCAGCCTCAGGAGTAATCCAGAATTTAAAAAAAAATCAACTCAGCCAAAAGTGGCTGAAGCAAGGTTTACTCCGCCACGAGGGATACGGCAGACGTCTTCCGCCACGTGAGTTTTGGAGCTCCGTACTTTTTTCTCAACTTAAGGCCCGGGCGTAAACAGAGCAAGTTAGAGAGCAGAGAGTCGTCCTCTCTTATCCCATCACCTGCCTCGCCTCATTCCCAGTTTACGTGAGACACTAGCGAGTCTGCTCTCGTCCGCACCCGCTGGACATCAAATCTGAAAGCTGGCCTTGAACTTGAGACGATGACGCAGTAATTTTCAGACGTAGGAGACAAAATAAAATGAAAGATGAACATTAAAAACAGTAACTGTTGCATTGAAAAGAAAATAATATAATATAGAATATAAATAAAATAATATAGAATAAAAAATATATAACGCAAAAAAGTAATAGAATCAGCATGAAGAGCACATACACGAGCGATCTTCCTGTAGTAGAAATAGCTGAATATGTAATCCGCGATATTGCTCAACTTCGAAGAACGATTACTCGAACGTTTTTCTGCATTTAGCTCCGAACACTCCGTTACTACCATGGACATATCAATATCTGAAAAACAGTCTTTTTACACTGTCGTCATGGAATGTCAACAGGAGCTTCTCACATACATAGATATGACTGCACATAGATCCAGAAAATATCCGGCACCATGAAACACAACAATTGAAAGGCGAAAAAGAACGGAACCCACTGAAAGTTAGGAAATGAAACAAAAGGGAAATTTCAATTCAAAACTTATCGATGATGATGATTGACCTGATAATATTTTATGGAAATATAATTTGTGTTTGCTGGATCGCGACCATTCAGGTAGGGGGTCGTCCTGTTGATACCGAGTTCGTAACGGTAAGTACCTTGCATGAAGCAGTAATCGAGTATGTAGGCCTGCCAAGTGCGGACTTCTGCAAACAAAGTGATAATAGTTATAACATCCACAATTTGGACGGATGAGGGCGAATGAAGGTTTGTATTGGAAGAATCAGTTGACTGGACACAACATTGATGTGTGAGAATCAAAAATCACCACGAACTCAAATCTGTTACCTTTACGATAATTTCACGCTACAGGGAAGAAAAAAAATTAAGTTTGCAAAAAATGGGCGCAATGTGGCTCGGGGGGAGGGGCAGTCGCCGCGCGCGGCGTCGTGAAGTAGAGGGACTCGACTTGCCAGCTTCGTCTCACGCCAACGCAGATGGCCAAGTTCGTGCCTCAACCCCAACTCTGAATTGGCCAGTTCTCAAATTTTCGTTCTGCAGCAACGGTTCCGAGCATCATGACCGCCAAAAATTGTCTGAGCAATGGCGTTACGGGCGGAGCGTCTAACATTTAATTGTCGTATGCAAATGTGGCAAATAATCACTGTATAGTGCTGTGAATGGAGATGGTATGGATCGCAACAGAATCAAGAAGCCCAAAGTGACATTGCTACAACCCTAGGGTCCAGGACATGACCAGATCCATCAAACAAACCAGAACTTTCGATCCCCGAGAACACCTAATTGGAATGAAAAGCCCCTCGATAAGTATAGATCAACATGATTGTCAGCTATCGAGCTTAAGGGCAGATTGGCACGGAAGAGCTAAGATGAGGGTTATTGAAGGATTCGTTCTCGGGGTTTTGATGGGCGAATATCGGCTTGACGGATTTAAAAAATGAATGGATGAAAACACACACAGCACGCAAACAACAAAGCTAAGCGTGCATGCCCAATTTCCCCCTTTTACTCTTCCTATTCCAGAAACTTACTTTGTTTGGGAGCCGTAGCCAATGGATTTCTTTCGATTTTTTTAAATAAATTTTAGGGTTCAGCTAATTGGCTAGCACTGCTGTAGAATATTAACTCACTAATTTTATTACATAAAAATTTGAAGAAAAATCAGAGATGATTTGATAAAAGAAGGGCATTTTAACTCAGGTTGAAGAACATACTGTCATAATCAGCCGATATGAAGCAATCGATGGGATTTCCAAAGTGCTGTTTCGCGCCGACGAGTAACGCAAAAATGCAAAGAACATAAACTGAAAATAGAAAAAGTTGGGCACCAACGAACGGTTACATAATAGAGTCTATTAAGTTGAACAAGGGCTTTCAAATGGAAATCACCCATGACGAATATGTCCTAGTCTGGGTGAGACACCTTGTGACAGCTCAGTGAACCATTCCATGCACATACCTGTCACATAGTAGTGCAAACGATCCACATAATCTTCTAGCGGCTGCTTGCGATTGTTCTTACGACCCTTGAAGATGTCGTCAAGCAATGGAATATTCAGAAACATTGCAATGAAGCGATACGCTCGCTAACTCGCTTGTCGAGCGGAAGTTTGACTCCTGAAGGCAAACCATGATAAGGTTACGTCTGGCTTTTTTGGCTACAACGGAAATGGAACGAACTGCACAACTGAACAAAGTTGGACAGATATAGGACGAAAAAACAGTGAAAACGATAACACTGAAGTAATGAGTAAAGCTCTGTGCCAAAAGTTGTGTTGAACCAGAATTAAAATTAATGAACTAAAGAAATGCGACCGGGATCAACACCTCACCTACCAAAAGGTGAAGTATTTTCTGGGTACTACTGGTTTAATACAACCAATATGGTTTATGTAGCATTTACATCGAGGTACGGTGCCATGAATGTAAGCACCACCAAAGCCTCGCACAAAATCCTATTTTATAAACCGCTAACTTGTGTGTCGGTTTGTATCTGTATGTATGTCTGTCTGTCTGTCCGTCCGCAAAATGAAGTGAGTGATAAGGAAGCTAATGGAATAAACAAGCCGCTACAATCTTGAGCTATCAATGTTTTGTAATGGCATAATTGTGATAACACTCCAACGGCTATATAAACACCTACTTAGCACACTTCCGGTTCATTCCACATGGTGCTGCAGTGGCAGCTGGAGGGCAGTTCGAAAAATCTCCCTCTGCGATAAACTGGATTACTTTCTGCCATATGAAATGTCGCACCAAATCCCTCTTTGCAGGAGGAACCCACCGAAAATCAAATTTGGAAGCCTAATCCAATTTACTTTTTTTTCTCAAAAGAAATGGAAGGATATTGTATCCAGGATAGGCGAAAACGCACCCGTGACACAAACAAATGAATTATATCAATGTTGGGGACCAGGCGCTACGCAACTAGGGTGTGGTTCACTAGGACAGAAAGCGACTTTTTCGCGTTTCGCAGCGCGAAACATTTTTCGCTGCGGGAACCTCAGGTCCACTGATGATCAGCGGTGGACCTGAGGTTCCGCAGCGAAAAATGTTTCGCGCTGCGAAAAGTCGCTTTCTGTCCTAGTGAACCACACCCAAGCAACCCTATATGGGCGCTCATGTCCTTACAAGGGAGGTCTTTCAGGACATGGAGCGCTTTTCAAAATGGTTTCCTGCATGTTGTAGAGCTCATGCGAGGAACACAGAACCATGGTCCATTTTTCCTGAACGCCTTCTAGGAATGTCAAAACAGTGGTGAAGAAATGGTCCAAAGTTCGATCCTCCGTGATGACAAATTTTTGCAATCCATGTTGGAGCCTCCAAATTGTCGCCAAATTACGAGGATGACATGTTAATCGACGCTGGTGCCATTTGGACACAATTTGGAGGCGCCAACATAGATTGCAA